TTTATCAATCTGTAATAAAAGACGTGAGGAAATTCTGTCTTTTTAAAGACAAAAATTTTTGAGGCGAAATACCCAAAAAGAAGTTTGTAAAAAATGAATCCGCCTCAACAATATAGAACTTATCTACAACATATTTGATGATAGATGAATATTTTTTTCTTGTCCAAAACGGCTTTCCCCTTTCTCCATTATTTCTCTATTATTATTGGCATTATTTTCCGAAGCAAAATGTTTTATTGAAAATATTGCTGTATTTATAATAGAAAATGTGTTTTTTTCAGAACTTTCTGGGCTTGTTAATACAAATTTGGGCGCATCTGGTACATTGATGGGACCAGCCAAACATATGGGCCCTGATTCGCCGGTTGGTCAGCGCTTGGGAAATCTAATAGCGGGGCCTGCGAAACTGATTGGGGCTGATGCGCCCCTAACTCAACGAATTATCCGAATGTCTACTCCACCTAGCCCGACGCCTGCCTCGCAAAACCTGTACGAGGCCTTAGAGGTGAGTTTCCGCACATTTTCCTGGTTTAAATGGGATTTTCTGATTGTTTTTTTTTGTGCTAATTGTTTCAGCCCTATGTGATGAAATGGCAGGGCCTGTTGGCGCTTAAAACCGACCAAGCCGCTGTTCAAATGTACCTAATATCTGGGAATGAGGAAGTGGCGAAATCCAGTCTGCCTAAGAACGAGGACGGATCGACGCCACCTTTGAGGATTTTCCAGCGAATGCGAATGGAACCCATGCAAATCGAAGGAGTGGTCAGAAAGATGCAGGTTAGTAATTTGCAACAGTTCTTTTATTTGGTTTGGTTTAAAAAGTGCAGGTTTAACAGAGCAACTAATATTTTGATTTTATTCCCCAGTTGCTGAACAGCCAATTTTTGTTAAATTTTCCAATTATCAGATTGTTCAAATGACTAATTTGCATTTCGTTGTTTCAGACGGAAAAAGAACACTGTATACTTGTTGCGCTGCCTTGCGGACTGAACACTGAAGACGTACTGAAGCAGTCTCAGAACTTAATCACTTTGATCAACTATCTTCAACAGAAGCAGGCTGCAGGCATCATCAATGTGGCTTATCCTGGAACAACGCATCCGGTAAGTCGCCAATGAAAGTTCGTTTTAATGTTTTTTAAATCGTAAATCACTCTCTCTTCTCGTTCTCTTGTTAACAAACATGGTTGAATGTTGTTAGTTTGCGAAAAAACGGTGTTTAATCTAGAAATGTGATAACGTTCGAGAACGTATTTTGATTGAATAGGAAATAAAACCGGTTTTGTTATGGAACTCGTACATTATTCAACAAGAAAGGTGTAGTTTTTTAGAGGCATTTTAGTGAAAAGTTGTGCAGCTCAGCAGATTAGGAAGATTAGGAAACATTTTTTGGCTTAGCCAGGCATTTTTGACGACATTTTTTGGCTCAGAAAAAAAAGACGATTTGACTTAACTTTTATTAAGAAAAATTGGATGGCACAACATCAAACATGCAACATTTTTGATGATGAAACTGAGTTGATCCGCTTTGGGCAAGTGGCGACTTCTGGTCTTGGTACAAAAACTGCCAGAACTTTTTATTTAGTTGCTGGAATCAACTGATTTTTTCCGAGTAGATGTACTAGTTTTTTGTTGACATTTGTGTGCTCTTTGTAAAATTTTGTAGCAGTTTTTGCACAAAAAAATATTTCTGTCTCCTTGCAGTTTAACAAATTTAGACATAAATTCATTTTTTGCATTAACGAAATTTAAATTAAGATTTTTTCTCATATTTTAATAAAACTTGCTCTGAATTTGTTCCTACATGAGGACCTTATTTTCAATAAACTGCTGCGCTTAGCAAAAAAACCCTTTGTGTCCCCTTTCTGAGGAACCGCAATTGGGATGAAAACGAAAATTAATTTACTTCTGCGATTGCTGTTAATGTCTGAATTTGATAAATAGCAGCAAAACAGATCTCCCATTTTTGCGCGAAAATTTTGCACCCTGAAATATTTTACGAAAAGCCCAAAAATGTTGAAAAAGTTGAAAAAGTCAGTTGATTCCAGCTACTAAATAAAAAGTTTTTATACCAAGACACTCAACTTCCTCACCTGCCCAAAGCGGATGAACTCGGTTTTTTTCATAAAACATGAGTCTTACATAAGAACAGATTCGCAGCGAATTTTATTTAAATCCATCCTATGATTCGCCCGATATTTTTATTATAAAAATACCATAGATAAAAAACCATCATTTTTTTTAAAGAACTTTAGCCAGCAAGAGAAGAGGCGAACATTTTTTCTTGAAAAACAAAGCCAGCTTGCAAACGCAGGCTTTTTCGAAAAATTGACCAAAAACGCAAATAACATTCAACGTTGACAATTGCAGATTTTCCGTATAAATGTTTTTTTTCAAAATCTTTTTGTTGCGTATTTTGCCTACAAATATTTTGTCTTTAAAAAACGATAGCATTTTCTTACATCTTTTATTAGGATTTATCAAAAAGTAATTAAGAACTCAGCTAAAGGGCATGACACAGTTTAACCCAAGCTGTAAGAAAGTCCGGCAAGATCCAAAGAAACAAAACAAACAAATTATTTTTCCCAGTATGCTAATTACGGGAAAACAGACACTTTTGGTATATAATCAACTTACTCAGACCCGTCGAATTGAAATTTGAACTCAAATCAGCCGAAAATGGTAAAGTAAGGGCAAAATTGTAAAAAGAGAGCAAAAATGATTTGCTAATCAGTCTATTTTCCACCAATAAAATCTAAAATCCACAATTAAAACAACATAAAAATACAACAAACCTTTTTATTCAATTTATTCCGATGCTTTCAGATAAAATTAAACGAGTAGGTAAACAATTCCATACTACAACTATCTTTTAAACCGAAAATACCATGAGAGAGCGAAGACATTTCGTTCTTTATTGTGCAAAAAGGCAGTTTTTTATCACACGAGAGCAATCTCCAGTGCTTTTCGAGCTTAGTTACACGCTATGGATCCTTTGAAATAGTGCTCGGAATTTTTAAAAATCTGATATTCGAATATTCGTTTAGTGGTTTATTCGAATAGTAAAATTATTCGAATACTCGAATATCTAACGAATATTCGTTAGATATTCGAGTGTTCGTTTTCCGTTCACCGTTTTCCAAGAAGAAAAATCGTTATCTCATAAATATCTCATAGATATCTCGTAAATATAKKGGTATTTGTTTAAATGCTTGTAGAATGTGAATAATTTATTTTATAAAAGTATACAAAGTGTATATAAAGATATTTGCACCTTGTGAGTTTGATAATGTTGGTGTATTCGAGTATTTGAATATTCGGATAAGCGAATATTCGAGTTATGACTACACATAATTATTCGCTTTTCGAATATTTGAATACTCGAATTATTCGAGTTTGATGTATACAGATTTGATAGCATTGAACTTTTTTTTTTCAGCCGGCATACGTGGTTCACATATTTCCATCATCCGATTTCGTGAATCAAAACCTTCGACGTTTGGCGCCCACACTTTTGGATAGAATAGTGGCAAACGACACGTCCCATCTTCTGATTGTGATAACGACCGTGTAATTTGTTCTTCGAATCGGTTGAAATTGCGTCTTTACTAGTCAATAGTCTTTGAGAAATGACTGCACTATGAGCAAGTCTCACCAAGCTTTGCCCAGTGGGAACCGGATTGAAATGGGTAATTTCAAGCCGCAATTATTTCAAGTGGATTCTTCCGCGGAAGAGTTCCGTGTAGACCGTGCATCAGGTTAGCCCCAGAGAAATAAATCGAGTTTTTTATTTTCGGTTCAGGACATCTTCATTTTAGAAATGTAACATTCGTTAGATATGTATTCATGCTTTCAATGTTATTTGGGGCTTCCGTATTTTGATGTTGTTTGGCAATGTTCTTAAGTCTTATTCAAAAAATTGAACGAAGAAGTATCTACTAATGTTTGTAACTACACTAAATATGTCATTTTTTTTAAAGGAACAACACACTATTACAATGTGTAGATTAAATAAACAAATAAAAAGATATAAAACACTATACTTAACTATTTAAAAAGTTTCACTGTGATTTCTAAAGATGCGTTACTATATTATAAAAATGTTTAAAAAAGCTAAAAAAATAATTTACCTACATAAGAGATCTCATATTTTGAACTTAGTTTTGTAATAGAGTTTTTCTTTGTTTAGAAGGTCTTTATTTTCATATTCGCGCTTTTTTGTATTCTTTACACCTCAATGCAAGAGATATTTTTTGCATATATGTATTAATTTAACACACACATGTAACAAATTGATTGGACATTTCCACGACTTGAAGTGCTTACACATTGAAGCAAGTATCTCCTGTACTGATGTAACTCGTCTACTATCCTTGCAATATTTGCAAAGATAGTCGACGATGTGAGACTGGAACTAACTTTTTATTTCGACATGAGGGTTAAGTTGCATTTTTCACATGATTTGCAATTACGTAACAATTAAGATCTCAAATTAAGACGAAACAAGGGCGATTGGAATTAAATGTATATTTTTTGCAGCGAATGCAGCTTAGCCCTTATAAGTTCTACAGGCTGTAATTTGTTTAAAAAGTTACTGTTGCCCTTCTTTGAATTAGGCTTTCGAAATTTGGAATTTTAGGCGGAATATTTTCCAATTTTGTGCAGTTTCTCCACTGCACAGAAAAGGCCCAGGGCAGACTCGAAGGCCTGCAAAAATATTCCACCTAAAATCATCTAAACAATGCAGAACTTTAGGAAATATAGATTTTGTAGCATATATATTAGCTGTACGAATCCTTTTTTTTATTTACAACAAGCTGTAACATATATGTGAATAAGTAGAGTTAGTTTTGTTTATTTATATATAAGATTACATTTTTGAGTTTAATTGTTAAGAATTTTCTGTACAGTGTATTTAGGCTGTAAGTATAACTATAGCGAGCGTTACAAAATACTATAATAGGGAAAATTGTGATGTCTATACTACTGTGTAAATTTTGTACATATATAAAAAAATACTGTGTATTGTGAGTATACATTATTATAACTATTACGATAAATATCTGCGATTTTATTCCTATCCTTTTAATGAATTGCTTATTCAGTGTGGATTGACTTGCAAAAATGTGTGACAAAACAGCAAGCTCTGAGGCTTGACGGTGAGTCAGAGGCCATAAAATTTTGTTTACTATTTCGGACCATAGTTGTTTACTTTATCTGCTAAACGAAGGGCTAGTATGAGCTTGAACGAAACTTGCGTCATTCATAATGGCGATGTGGAAGTTTTCCGGTGATATCGACCAAATAAACTCAACTGTTTTCATGCTCAGGTAAGCGAAAAATCCCAAACACTCGCTTTTGCTTTTATAGGATCTATTAAACCAACAAAATACTTACAACTTCAATCTCACAAGTTACATTAATCTCATACAGAAAAACTCATGATCGACACACAAAATGTAAAAATGCAACTGGGATTTATTATGTATTTTTTTAGTTAAAAGCAATGTTTTATTTCCACATACACTAAGATAGTTCGTCATCGGTAAAGTTAATTGCTATCAATATAAGAAAAAATTAACATCAATCAGTCTTTAACCTCGTTTCCAGTTCACAGCAAGGGCTTTTTTATTAGTTACTTACTCTCTGAAATAGTACTGATTTCAATACTTGCTACTTAACAGTAAGCAAAATACTTTTGAAAAATTAATTTTCATGTCTCAATTTTTATGTAAGCGATAATCGAAAGAATTGTTGCTAAACTAATTTTTTAAATCTCGTTGCGTCTCCACCAAGGAATTCCCGGTTCCTCTTGTATAACGATTCCCTCATTCGGCCGTCTTTGAGGCCTCCGAGGAATTGTTCTTGTATGATGTATTTGAGGTAGATGATTGATACTGAAAAGAAAAAACATTCAAATAAAATGAATGTGTTTGAAAAGTGTAGTGGCGTAAAAAAATGGAGTGGAGTGTTAAAGGAAATTTTAATAATTTATGTTAAAGGGTTGATGGTCAAGAATAAATTTGTAGTATTTTAGCCCCAAATCTACAAATCAAAAATGAATTGATTTAGAAAGTATCAAATTTTGTGGTGTATTTGGCTGGTGATTACTAGCAACAAAAAACCATATCTGCAGTCATTTTTTACTTTTAGCTTTGTTCGATTTTAATTATCCGATCTTTTCTTTGAAAATCTGTCCTCACTCCTAATTTATGATTTTTTTCTGAAGATTAACTGTTTTCTGGATATTTTGATTCGCAATACGACCCGCAAACACACGTTCAAAACAAGTCTTGAAAGAGTTTAAAAAGATAAAACAGCCCAATCAATGCCAAGGCATTTATAATCAAGTCGGGGATTTTTGATTAAAAAAGCCACTAAAATTCATATAATTGTCCAGTAGTTTTCACTATTCATTGCTTTGCCAGTACAACAGCGAAAATCTGTTTTTTGAACTTTTAACGAATTGCCACCCTCGTTTTCGCCTCGAATGGCAAATTTTCAATCGACAGAAAAATTCATAAAGTAAAAACTAACAAATTTAAGCAAAGGAACAGAACGCAATCAGACACCAAACTCATTCAAAATGTAGAAATTATATTTGAAACACGTTTTCCTGATCTTCTTAGCTTAGTTTTGTTTTCTGTGAAGCCTTTCCATTCCTGTCTATCTTCTGGTGAGGTTTTTGTGGGCAACCTTCCTCTTGATCTTTTGCCAGGAACGGTCCCTTGCAGACTGAGCCATTTCTTCTGACCAAAGAATTTAGCCATTTTCTTCTGACCAAAGAATTTAGCCGCTACCACAATGCTCAATCTCTTCATAATTCTGAGTTGGTCCAGAATCGATTGGTTGGGTCTTTTCTCAGTCCAGGACACTCTCAGCATTCTGCGCCAACAAAACATTTCGAAGGCATCTCTTATCTTCCGCTTATTTGTCTTTTTTAAAGTCCAGCGTTCTGATCATATAGAAAGACTGAAAAGCTCCTGACCATCTCATGTTAAGGGATGTGATGGCTTTTCCATACTTTGGTTAGTTTGGGCATGGACTCTTTCGCTTTTCTGATCGACTTACTTAAAAAAAAATATTTAAAATCGACGGAAGCCTCTAAAGGTGCAAAAATTTCATCGAATTCAAAAAACTCATCGAATTGGGAAGATCTTTCGGCCTGTACTTAATCTGAAAGATTTCATTGCTATAAAAGAATTAGTTGTATTTTATACAAAAGCTTATGACCTACTAAAAGTTGGTATTTACCGATTGCTTTTTTTCCCGATTTCTTCAATACGTGCTTATTTTGACAAAATACTGTATGTTCTGTTACTACGCCCCATAGAATGTTTTAACTTCACAGTAAAGTATGAATACAATATACGATAAATCATTTTGTTCTCCAATTTAAGGAATCGCGGAAAATTTGCAAATAAAGCGTCTCTTTCTAATAATAAATAAAACGTAAATATTTATAGCACAAATACACATTAAAAACTTAAGAAGAGAATAAGAGATCCGACAAACAGCCGCCGCCTTGAATAGTTAAGTTGCTTTTACCATCACTTGACCGGTTTAAACTTTATCGTTCAAATTACGGGTTTTTCCAAACGAGCTTAAAATTAGTCGATTTGGGAGCATTTAAGTTGTTGCCTGCTATTGTTCAAAGTACAGCCCCGACTATACAGATTTGTTGAAGACAAAAAGAAAGTGGCTCAATTTGTATTTAAAATGCGCAGTTCATCATCAGAAACGTCTGAAGAAAGACCTAGAGAATTGACTAGGAATTTTTATATGAAAATCTATACATTTTAATCAGAGATCTTGAGAGAGGGCTGTCTTCATTAGTGAGCGTGTGCAAATGTTTCTCATTCTTGATATTTAACTAGAAAAAGACAGTTTGAGATTATATTTGTCTGATACAATCAAACAGTAAATCAAAGAATTCTTCGTAGAATGGAAGAAGTTTCAAATCAACTAAGTGCTTACTTTTGAGCCTCCCTTATACTGGGCAATCGCTCCAGATTATGTACAGGATTGGCTCTAATGTTTAAAGTTTCCATTTGAATAGGTGCTCGCTTTGCAGTCTGAATTGCCTTGATTCTTCGACGTGCGCTGTTTTTTGCCCTGCACTGTATGCTCCATAGTACACCGCTGACCGCAGCCAACAGAAAACCAATATAGAGCAGAACTTGCAGATTTCGGGCTGCCGAGTTTCTCAGCACCAGTCCAGCTATGCAAAGCGACATTCCAATCAAAATGCCCATCGCAAATAGTAACTAAAAAGGGAAAAAATCGTCAGCCAATTGAGCGCTGAAGTGAGCCCTGAAGTCTCACCTGTAAAACGAAATAACAAACACTTTCCAAAGTCTGACATTTGCCACCACATCCATAAAACATTGTGCTGGTCAATACCGAACTCATGGAACTTTGAGGTCGGTCCGATAATCTAGAGGCGACAAAACGTCTTCCAATAGGTGCAACTGGCATTGGTCCATTATCACAGCTAAAATAAGGTTTTTGATTACATATAGAGATGTTTTTCGGGCTTTGAAGCCGTGGTCCATGGGAACTTCTTCCTGACGTTTCGTCCACAACTGCGGTGGACATTATATGTGGACACAATATTATTCGCAACGGTTAAGTCGTTGGGAGTGACTCTTTTGTAGTTTATTAGTTGAACTCTAACATTTTTTAGTCAAATAATACATTGGTCGGCTTGCGCTTGCATTCAAATTGCGCACATAATCGCCTTTGTAAAAATTGAAACATCGAATGAGCAATCTTGTCCAATTTCAGACAATTGACGCTTGGACTACAGGCGGTAAAGCTGACTGGAAGGTAGTTTCGATACGCTGCAGCCTCACGTAGTGGACTTTTACGCATGGCTGTCCGACAGAGGTCAATGTTTTCTTCCATTTAATCGCATCAGTTTAGTAGCGGGTCCAAAGTATTTGACAAATTTGTGTGTGGTCTTGACCAGTCTTCTTCATCGCCTGATAATGTCCACCGCAGTTGTGGACGAAACGTCAGGAATAAATTCCCATGGACCACGGCTTCAAAGCCCGAAAAACTATATGGGATTTGACCGGCCGTGAAAGCCTTCATAGTCTGATAAGGTTTTTGATTCTTTTTTCTCTACTCTTTCTGGTCTTTCTTAACTCCTGACAAGCTTGAAAACTGTACTTACGGCGTTTGTATCTCATGATATAATCTCTCTTCAGCTTCGGAGGCCTCTTTAGGCATACCCACTCCGGGATACCTGCGCGATTGTCGGCAAGGGTGCTCAGCAAAACCACTCTTCGCGCACCCTCTATTAGACTCTTCATCGAATTCAAAGGAGGGTAGTCGTGTAGAGCAGCTATCGTCCGAGAAAGTAGCTCTACTTTCCCGCAAGGGATTGTGTTGGTAGGTGGGATCATTTTGCTCACAGCAATCATAGCAGGTTTCTGAGGCTGTGCCCTCACTATACCCGATGTCTATACTGGTTGCAGCCAAATTACTTGCTTGCCTTTGGTACCGCTTCTGCACATGGTATGGGTGGACTGGTTGTTTGTTTTTCTGTATAGTGGTGACCTGTTTATTTATTTTGTTAGCAATTTTTCTATACAGAATGGTTCTATTCGCAAAGTTAGTGTCGCTTCTTTGATTTTATGTGCTTTTGACAGTTGAAGATTCCATTTCAACTTTATTTACCGGGTTGAGCGAATGTTCATCATCAGACCATCAGAAGTATGACCAAAGATCAAACATCTTTGACTATGTTGATGTTTATGTGAACTTCAATTTTGGGTCACACGTTTGATGTTCCGATGATGCTTTGTATGGTCGAAACGAGTGTTTGATGTTGACTTGATCTTTGGAAGGCCGTTAATTGTTTTGAAATAATCTAGAGTTTTTTGGCACAGCCGACTATTCAAAGCCCATTTTCGTAAATGTACCTTCTAATTTTTTTAAACCGATTTGAAGCATTAAGGCAAAATCTCCTGGAAAAACTACCTCTGCACAAAGAAACCACATAAATCACCCTACATGTTTAACCATATTTACTAAGTATTAATACCTGGTATACATTGTGGTCAGGCCGCTCGTACTTTGGCTTGGGATTCGAAGTGCAACGTGACATCTGAGCTTTGCTTCCTTATCATTTCTGAGCTGGAAAAAAATTAGATTAAATCCGATCTGAAGTGAGAAACTGTTTTGAGGAAAACTTGAATGCATCGGTGTTTCATGATCAGCCCGTGTGTGAACTGTGCGCTATTTTTATTAGCCCAGATCCAGATTTCTAGTTTAACACTTTTTATAGAACACCCACATTATTTATAGATCGACTATAAATTATGTGTTTGACAAAAAAAAACAGATCTGTTGCTTACAAAACTACTGGATTTGCAGATATTTTTACGATTATCTTTTTTAATTTTCATGAAATGTTTGTGTACACAGCATGTTTATTAGCATGTGGATGCATTATTTGCAGCACGTTTCAGTACAGGAGATTTCTTCAAGTTAAAGTTATTCATACACACTTTTTATTCCTTTATAATTTTCACTTAATTTTTTTGAAGTGTGCTTATAATTTTCGGTACTTGTGGTGAAAATTTCAAGAACTGATCCCAAGCAGATTTTATGAGAAAAAGTTGATGGGGGGTCAAAAATGTTCGATTCCGATCTACAGATTTTGTTCAGCAAAAGAGTTTTCAAAATTTCACGGGTTCTATTTTTTGCTTTCCAAACTATGAAAGATATTCTACTATTCTACTATTCTGAAAGATTATCTGCCTGCGTTTAGTCATAAATGTCGATTATTCCTAGGCAGTTCGTTTTACAAAATTATCATGAAGAGCGCATACAAACAAGGAACTTAAAAAATGAAGAACATAACATTTTGTAGTCTTTAACAACCWKAAGATCGRAAACCGAGCATTTCTGACCCCATGTTCATATTAACCTTTTCTCATAAAATCACCTCAGGAATACGCCCTTGTGCGCTTTGTACTCAACTAGGAAAGGTTGTTTTTTCGCCTTCTGCTTTAGTTTTCTACCTACATTTCTTCGGGATTATTTTTAATTTTTTTTGCATCTCTTACGGAATTTGAACGGATGTAAACACAAAAGTCCGTTTTAAAATTGCCGACGTTTCCTCATTTTTAGGCTGTAGAGCAGATTAAGTTACACATTTGGAAGTGCGTAAAGAAATTATTATTAAATTACAACTTCGATTTCCGTAAATCAAAACGATACTTTAAATATCTAAATACTGATGAGGCAATGAGACGCAATGCCCTGAGGATTCCTAAATAAATATGACAAAACGTCGGCAAATTTTAAAAAACGAACTTAATTTTTACGTCGTCAGGATCAGTGTTATTTCGATTTTCCGATAGTCGAAGAAAAATCAAATGGTCTGCACTAAAAACTTTTTTATTAAACGACTTGCTGTTCTCGATTTGCAACATTTGTTTTGCGTTGGAAAAAGATCAAAATGGTCAAGATATTCTACTATTCTACTATTCTGAAAGATTATCTGCCTGCGTTTCAAAGTCATAAATGTCGATTATTCCTAGGCAGTTCGTTTTACAAAATTATCATGAAGAGCGCATACAAACAAGGAACTTAAAAAATGAAGAACGTAACATTTTGTAGTCTTTAACAACCTGAAGATCGGAAACCGAGCATTTCTGACCCCATGTTCATATTAACCTTTTCTCATAAAATCACCTCAGGAATACGCCCTTGTGCGCTTTGTACTCAACTAGGAAAGGTTGTTTTTTCGCCTTCTGCTTTAGTTTTCTACCTACATTTCTTCGGGATTATTTTTAATTTTTTTTGCATCTCTTACGGAATTTGAACGGATGTAAACACAAAAGTCCGTTTTAAAATTGCCGACGTTTCCTCATTTTTAGGCTGTAGAGCAGATGCAAGTTAAGTTACACATTTGGAAGTGCGTAAAGAAATTATTATTAAATTAGAACTTCGATTTCCGTAAATCAAAACGATACTTTAAATATCTAAATACTGATGAGGCAATGAGACGCAATGCCCTGAGGAGTCCTAAATAAATATGACAAAACGTCGGCAAATTTTAAAAAACGAACTTAATTTTTACGTCGTCCGGATCAGTGTTATTTCGATTTGCCGATAGTCGAAGAAAAATCAAATGGTCTGTACTAAAAACTTTTTTATTAAACGACTTGCTGTTCTCGATTTGCAACATTTGTTTTGCGTTGGAAAAAGATCAAATTGGTCAAGGATTCAATTGAAACAAACTGAATCCTTACCATTGATTGCATCGCTAAACTAACACGATTTTTCCAAACATGTAACAAATTCCTGTTGAATACAATAGAAAATCATCATCATCTCATGATCAAAACAAGTTTCCAAGTACCAAGATCTGTGACGGATCCGAGCGTTGTTTTCTATGAGCACTCAAGGTGTATCTGCTGCTCAAAACGAATTGTTCTTTGCCGGTTAAAATGTAATTAATTCAATGAAACATACACATAAATACAATGGATATCTACAGGCAGGTAGTCCTGCAGGCTTTAGATAAAATGTATTTACAACATTCGGTAATTAGTTGCTCCAACTACTTTGTTAAATTTTCAACTACGCCAGCAGCATTGTTTAGCCAATTTTTGTATGTGAACAATTTTAGTGTTGTGCATTAATTTGCCGGTTTGGCAATTTTGCTAATAACATGCAAAATGGTGTCACGGCAAAGAGTAATTTTTAGGAGCAAAGGTGAGTTTGTTGGTTTTTATTGCGCATCTACCGAATTAGGAGCCAAAGTTGGGACATTTTTCCTTAAATATCTAATCTTGTGTTTTTGTCGATAATCGGATTAGTATCTACTAAAATAACCCTTGTTTTTTTTTAATTTAAAGCGCCATTGTTTTTACATTTTTGTAATGTTTACGACATTTTGACTATGCGAAAATGTGGAAAGGAAAGAGTGTTTGGCTTCCTCATGGGACATTTTTTGTTTGCGAGATAAAGTTTAAAATTCCGTCAAGTAGACCGATAGTCGGAAATTTCACTTTTTTAAATAGATTGGTTCACTAAATATGCGTTTTCTGTCCAATGAAAAAAGCAAAGTAATTTTTAAGCTCGAAATCGTAATATTTAGCCGATTTGATGGGCTAGTTTTGTCCGTTATTTTTCTCAGTGAAATAAAGAATCATTAATGATTTTTAAATCTCAAATTCCTTTATCAACAGTCGCTGTTTTTTCCTCTTGAAAAATAGCAAAAAACTAGTAGCTTCAACGATATTATTCTCTATTCTGCACCTTGCGTACAATTTTGCAATAAATCTGAACGCTTGGGTATAAATGCAAAAACACTCGCAAATACATATCAGTAATAATATACTATAAATAATCAAATACACTCAGAAATCCATATTAAAATTGATTAAAAAACTCTTCAAAATGTATAAATAAATTGCAACGAAAAAATCAGCTGAAAGAACATTCAATGTAGGAAGTTTTTCGTTAAATGGTACCGTTTTCCGAGCAACACCCGGCTGAAATTAATCTCTAAAAATATAGTTTTGTTTATTTTCCGGAATTTTTCCGATAAAAATTCTACGAAATTGACTACTTGTAAGTTAAAAATGTACAATGTTCTGTAGGTTGAAGGAAGCGAATTTTTAAAGCCATTTGGAGGCGGATATTTTGTCCATTGGCAAACCTCAGAATTCTTAGGCATTTTTATAGGAATCTTTAGAGCCAAGTCTGCTCTAAAAACGCAAAAAGTTGCAAGTTGCTACTTGTTTTACTTACGGCGGTGCGATTTTTCAGACAATGCATTTGGATAAAAATATACATTTTAAGACCAATGTATTCTGAGCTGGAAAAAATCAGGACTCCTGGCGATTTTTCCGCAACTTTCACCATCAATAGAGTCAAGTGTCTTCTGAGGATATTGACAATGTCAAGTTGGTGCTTGCTCTACGGGGAAAAATGCGATTTTTTTTAAAACAGAGCGCATTTGCAATGCATTTGCATATGCGCAAAATTTAAATTTTGGGAAATTTTTAACAAAACTTTTAGCACCTACAGCGTCACGTCTCTTCTAAAGATGGTGAAATTTTGAAATTGCTACTCACTTCAGTTTGGAAGATGTGAATTTTTAAAGAAGAGTGCGATTTAGGAACAACGTTACTTATGAGACCAGGTATTTATTAAGCTGGCAAACTTCACGGTTCTGGCTTTTCTCGAATCGATAATCGAAGTCTCGACTATAGATTGTGAAAATTTCAAGTTTATACCTACTGAGTAACTTTTGCGTAAAAATTGAGAACTTTTGAACGAGAGCGGTGTAAAACAGCCATTTGGAGAGCGATTTTTGTAAGTTGCAAACCTCGGGATTTTGAGTGATTTTAATTGAATTTTGACGAAAGATCTTAGGCCGCTGTCTAATTTTTGTCTCCCCCTGTATTCCCTTTGATTCAGGGGCGGATCCAGCTTTAAATTCAGGGGGGGGTTATGGAGAAAAAATACAGTCTTCTGCTGTCTATGAAATTAGAAAAATTATCGTCGTTTTGTGCAAGGGTGGCACAAGATTATTGCAAAATTTCATGTTTTCCGTCCCGTTTTGCATGTTTCTCGGAAGCAAAATGAGCAAGAACGCTCGTTTTTACATCATCCCAAAGAGAACTAAATAGCCTTTTTAGAAAGTGAACCATCGATAAGAAAATGTTGGCAGTTTTCTCAAAAAATGCTTGAATTCAAGAAGTTTTAGATTTGCGTGGTTTTCTT